AAGCCTATGGTGGACGCGAGGAACACGTGACTGTGCCCAGTTGTGGGCCTTCCAAAGGCATGCATTTGGGGCCCCTTTTTCCTCTTAAATGTCTTAAAAGTCTGAAGACCTTTCCCTCATGTCAACCAGAACTCAGAAATAACCTCCCTCTTCACTACCTTATAATCAGTTATTCATTCAGAAAAATACTGAGCACTTTTTACTAACAAGACACTATTATTAACGTCAGGGAGATAATACCAGTCCCCACCAAGTTTTCATTCTAGCTGGATATACAAATAATAACCAAGTAAACTGGTATGTGTGACTTAGAGCAGTGAAGGGTGTTAAGGAAAATAAACCTGAGTGGGGAATGGAACTGAAATGAAGACACTGAAAGACTGATGACAAGATACAATTTACATTTTAGAAAAAAGAAAAAGACCAGTCTTGCTGCTATGCAGAAAATAATCTGAAAGAGGCAAAGACTGCAAAGGCAGGGAGACAAGGTGGACAGCTGTTCAGCAACCCAGGCCAGGGGCAGTGCTGGCACAGACCGGAAGCAGGGAGGGTCAGCACGGGATACACGTTGAGGGAAGGACAACAGGGCCCGATGACAGGCTGACGGGATGTGAGATGTAGGGAAAGACAGGAACCATCGAGAATGGTATGGCCAGGCACGGTAGTTCACACCAGTCATCCTAGAACTTTGTGAGGCTGAGATGGAGGGATCGCTTGAGGCAAGGAGTTCAAGACCAGCCTGAACAACATAGCAAGACCCTACCTCTACCAAAAACTTAAAAAATTAACCAGGCATAGTGATATGCACCTGTAGTCTCAGCTACCTGGGAGGCTGAAGCAGGAGATCGTTTGAGCCCAGGGGTTTGAGGCTGCAGTGAGCTAAGATTGCACCACTGCACTCTAGCCTGGGTGACAAAGTGAGACCCTGCCTCAAAAAAGAAAAAAGAGAACGTTTAGGGGATGAAAACCAAGAGCTGTTGTCACTTAAATTATTGCTGCCAGGTGTGTACAAAGGAAAAAAAAAAAGGTAGAAAACCAACAGCCGCTTCATTTGAGATGCCTGTGGAAAGGCAGGTATGGACACTAAGGAGGCACTGGGAAACCCCAGGTGGCCAAGACTGGACACACATACACATTTGGGAGTTAGGAACTTCCGGTTGGCATTTACAGCACCACAAATAGAGAAGGGATCCAATCCGGGCTGGGCCCAGGACTCCAGGAGGCGGCAGCAGCAGACTGAGGAGGACGAGCCAGCTAGGATGAGGAAACAAGGCCAGTGGGTAAAAGCCAAGAGAAGGAAGTGTCAAGGAGGGGTGGATGCACTGCTGTTTCAGATCCTATCAAGCAGGCATGTTAAGGTAAGGACATTTAAAAAAAAAACCACAAGTGACCAGACTTGGCTTGAGGGAAATTGGTTGGTGGCCTTAACAAGAACAATTTGTGATGAGACAGAACTGTCTGTCTGAGAAGTGGGCTGAAAGAATGGCAAGAAGGAAAAAAGCAAGTCCGAGTTCTGCTATGAAGGGAAGCAGAGGAGCTGTTATGGGGTTAACTAAGGGAAGAACTTTTCTACAACGGGAGAAATTGTGCAGCATGTCTGTGTGCTGACAGGAATGACCAGGAAGAGTAAAGCTGAGGATGCAGGAGGGAAGGGAGAGCCGTGGCAGCCAAGGGAGGGGTCCCAGATGCAGATGCAAGGTAGCATAAGGAAGGAAGGAGACTGCCAGGCCTGGCAAAAGGAAGGGGCAAGCTCACAAAGATGGTCCAGGCTGCATGGCTGCCCAGAGACAACCAGGACCCCAAACCCCTAGCCCCAAACAGGTACAGTCCAAATGGGGCCTGCCATTTCTACCGCCACCCTGGTGTCCCTGGCTGCATGTGACCTGAGAGGCTTGGGTGAGAGCAGAGAGAAGATCCACATCTAACAAACACAGCAGCACCCCCTGCAGCTGAGGCAGGGTTCAATAGTTGCTTTATTACCTCTCATTGGTGAACATGGACTCCATGGGCTCATCTTTTCCCTGCTTTTCACTCAGCCCCTGCAGGAACCAAAGTGCACTTAGGTCACCCCTGGAGAGTTCTCAAACCCATCTGCCCCACTCCAGAAGTCCGGCCACCCAGGCCTGAGCCCTTCCAACAGGCACGAGGTCCAGTCTCACAAGACTTTCTGGGCCTTTCTGGGACCTGAAGAGCAGAGGTCTCTGCCTCCAGATTCCAGAAGATGTGAGCATTCCAGGCCTCTGGGGCTGGGCCCAGCAGGCTCTGCAGGCTAAGCCCCGCTGCCTGGAAGTCCAAAGACAGAGGCCTGCAAACCCAGTGTCCCTCACCTGTGGGATAAATGTCGAAGGCCCAGAAAACAAGCAGAGGTAGAACCTGCAATGAAGAAGTGCAAAGTGAAGGCTGCACAGAGAAAGCCCCACAGGGAGACAAGTCCTTGCCCCCTACTCCTGCCTGCCAGGACCCCGGTGACCACCGCCCAGCACTGCCCTGGTCCAGTGAGTGACCTAAGAGGGTTATGCCACTACCCTCCCTCCCACAGCCCAGGCAGCACACTGGATCCCAACGCTCACTTCTTTGCTTTGGCACTATTGGGGTAGTCTACCACCATGCCACCGGAGAAGCCTGCCCTTATGGCCTGGGTTGTGATCAGCTCCAACTGAGGAAAGAAAGGCATTGGGTCAGGCAGGGGAGGAGGGAGGAGCAGACAGCTTCACCTCCCTCCCCTCCTTCAGAAGCCAGTCTGCTCCAGGACAAATCCTGCTTGGGAGAGCTTAAGGTTGCCATAAGCCATGCAGAGAAAGTGCAGGCTGAAACCCGCATGGTATACCCCTCCCTCGGGAGAGTCACTAAACAAAGCGACTCCCTCATTCTCACTTCCAGCCCAGGGACCCAGCCCCCGACTCAAGTTCAGGAAGGAGATGGCCAACAACTGGAAGCCAGTCTCATTCACATTATTAGTCAGGAACGGCTCTTCACTCATCTTTCAACATCTACATCCTACTACACCATTCCTTAATTAGGTATCACACAGCAGACGGTGCCCTCTCACCCCTCCTAAATGCCCTTCACTTATTTTGGTTTTTTTTTTGTTTGTTTTTTTTGTTTTTTTTTTTTGAGACAGAGTTTCGCTCTTGTTACCCAGGCTGGAGTGCAATGGCGCGATCTCGGCTCACCGCAACCTCCGCCTCCCGGGTTCAGGCAATTCTCCTGCCCCAGCCTCCTGAGTCGCTGGGATTACAGGCACGCGCCACCATGCCCAGCTAATTTTTTGTAGTTTTAGTAGAGACGGGGTTTCACCATGTTGACCAGGATGGTCTCGATCTCTTGACCTCGTGATCCACCCGCCTCGGCCTCCCACAGTGCTGGGATTACAGGCTTGAGCCACCGCGCCCGGCCCCCTTCACTTATTTTGTTATGGAAATCAGTCATATCACCTTATCTGTAATACATGTCATCTGCCAGGAGAAGACAAACATCCCACCCCACCTCCACAGGTACCAACCCCTTAGGATATCTGGTCACCAAATGTGCCATCAGGGGCCACACTAGGGTTAGGGTGCATGCTCCCTCCTTTTCCCACCAACCTGCGTAAGTTGCTTTGTCATTTCTCCAGGACAGCTCACCTGTTGAGTCCCCCCACTCCCCTGCACACCCAGTAGCTGAGGGACTCACCTGCTCTGAGTTCTCAGGGTACAGCTGCAGGACAGCTCGGGATCCCCGGACCTGAAAGAAACAGAAGCATCACTGTCTTACAAATGACCACATGAGCTTAGGGGCCTGGACACCCTTCCCTTCCTTCGTTCACTGAGTATTTCCAGAGTTTCTGTTACGTGTGGGGCACTGTTAGGGCTGGGTATACAGTCACGAACAAGAGATCACCCTGAACTTCGGAGCTCAGTTTTAATAGGGTAGACAACTCATTCAGAGTAGGAAATTTTTTCTTTTTCTCAAAAAAAGGAATTGGACAAAGTGACAGAGTTTCCTTTCAGTTAGTTTACTTTTGGTTCCAAAAAGGCCTGTTTCAGATGGACACTTGAGCAGAAACTCAAGTGAGGAGCTGGCTGTTTAAACGTTATGTAGGGAAGAGCCCTCCAGCAGGGAGAAGAAGAAACACAGAGGCCCTTGGTGTGCAGGGAGGAGAACTCACGTGCCGCACAAGACCAGCGGCCAGCCATCGGCAGGAAGAATCCACCCCCAGGAAAGCTAGGGGTGGGCTGGACCACGCTAAGGAGGCCAAACCACTCAGAACCTTCAAAACGGAATCATTTTTAAACTGGGGACAGTGGCAAACACCTATAATCCCATCACTTCAGAAGGCTGATGCAGGAGGATTGCTTGAAGCCAGGAGTTTAATACCAGCCTGGGCAACATAGCTAGACCCCATCTCTAAAAAAGTAAAAAATTAGCCTGGCATGGTGGCATGTGCCTGTAGTCCAAGCTATTTGAGAGGCTGAAGCAGGAGGATCACTTGAACCCAGGAGTTCCAGCCTGCAGTGAGCTACAATCACACCACTGCACTCCATCCCAGTCAACAGAGCAAGTCTGTCTCAAAAATAAAAGAACTCATTTTTTGGACTTAAAATCTCAGACTATCTGCTAATCCTAGTAAACAACTGAAATTAACATCATTAGTTAAAAGGCAAGATAAAGCTAAAAGACTCTCTCTATGGTAAATAGCTATCCTGTTCCCCATCTGAGGAAAAGTGTCAGCACTAGGAGGCGGGAGACATGAGGAGTCAGAAGGATGTGGTGCTTTGGAAGGTACCCCTCCGGATGGTCTGGACATATCGTCTCTGTCCTCACTCTGCTCAGTCCATGCCCCCAACCAACTTCTGACTAAAAGTCAGCGTAACAGACATAGGAATTACGATCAAAAGAAGTAGGCCCTACTGTAAGTTAACAAATTGGCCTCCGATTTTGACATCAGCGACTTCTGGGTTTGATCAGAGTATATCAGTCCACTGAGCTTGGACTTCCATTTAGGCTGAGGATCTGGACAGAAGCAACCACAGTAAGGCCCTGCCACCACATGCAGTCCCATACAAATAGCTTACCCATCATGGGACACCTCAACTTCCTCACTCTACCTGCAGAACTAGGGAGGGACAGGCAGCCAACCCAGATGGGGAGAACATCTCATACTCACAAGAACAGAAAAAAGAGAAGCAAAAAAGCAGTACAGGCGCTTGGCAGGGTTTTCAGACTTCTTGTTAGCATTACAGAGCCACTGCACAGCAGAAATGCTAAAAAGGAAGGAACCTAGTCAAGCAAGGACCAATCCACATTGCTCCCCGCCAACCCATCCCGCTTCAAGCCTCTTGACATCATCCGTCCTGCATCTCCAAAAGAAACACTCCTCCCACACAGCTTCCCTTCTTAGAAAGGGCAGATCCAGGCCAGGTCCAGTGGCTCACACCCTGTAACCCCAGCACTTTCTGAGGTCAAGACAGAATTGCCTGAGGCCAGTTCAAGACCACCCTGGGCAACACAGCAAGACCCCGTCTCTACTTAAAAGTATTTTTTAAATTTAAAAATTTTAAGACAAAGAAAAAAAGTGCAGGTTCACTGCAAATCATGACTGTAACACTGGAAAGATAGGACATACAGAAGGACAGCATTTATGTCCCTCGGTCAGTCCCAAGAAACCTTTTCTCAACCTTGTTTCCATCTGCATCTCAAGTTGAAAATTCTCTGTGTCAAGGCTGTCTGCACACACGCTCCTTGTTCCCTTCCGCCAATCCAAGGATACAGGCTTTAGACTACTTACATACACACAGATCGACATTCTAAGATCTGTTACCGAAGTGCTATGCTGACCCTGATTACGGAGAAAGGACTCTGGAGCACTGAAGAGATTAGGCAAGCCCAGCTGCTCTCCACCACAGTTCTTTCTTGGTAAATAAAATAAAATGGCTGGCTGTTTGGGCCTCAAGGTTGCTAATGGGGCCCACAAAATGGCTGCCAGAGGCTCAAAGACCACCTCCCCTCCCCCACAAGACATACAAAGCCCACAGGGAATGTGTACCAGTGGTGCCCTGAACCCGGCAATGCAAAATAACCACAATAGTAGAGAAGTTTTATTTTTGAGATGGAGTCTTGCCCTGTCGCCCAGGCTGGAAGTGTGGGGTGTGGTCTTGGCTCACTGAAACCTTCACTACCTGGGTTCGAGCAATTCTCCTGTCTCAGCCTCCTGAGTGGCTAGCTGGGACTACAGGTACCCATCACCAAGCCTGGCTTTTAGTAGAGACAGGATTTCACCGTGTTGACCAGACTATCAAGTTTTAGAGTACAAAAAGAATGCAGTCTTCGGCCTTACTCTGACCTTGTAAATCTGAAAATCCCATGGGATGTGTATCTGTAAATATCCTACATGACTCTGCTGCACAGCCAGGTTTGGGAGGCACTGGGCTGCGGGACTAAAAGCAGGAAGCGGCTAGGACAGCTCATGCCTGTAATCCCAGCATGTTAGGAGGCCCAAGCAGGTAGCTCACCTGAACAACATGGCAAAAACCCATCTCTACAACAAATACAAAAAAAATTAGCTAGGTATGAGCAGTAGTAGTCCCAGATACTCAGGAGGCTGAGGTGGGCAGATCACCTGAACCCAAGAGGTAGAGGCTTCAGTGTGAGCCATAATCATAGACAGTGTACTACAGCCTAAGTGACAGAGTGAGACCCTGTCTCTAAATAAATATATAAAAGCAGGAGGTGAATACCCTCACCTGATGCAACCATCGAATGTGCCTGGCTTGAAAGGGATGCCCTGGCCCATGTCCCCCAGAAGCAGGTCTCCCTCTACCTCTCGGTCCACGGCCTCATCTACATCAGAAAAAAGGCAGTCAGAGAGAGACAACACCCATGGTTTCTCTACACCCATCAGGGTAATCCCCCCTGGTGCCAGACAGGACACACTTACCCAGCATGGCAGGGCTGATATCAAGGCCCACCCAATAGTGCCCTTCATCTGAGAGGTAGCCTCCACTCAGTCCAGTGCCACAGCTGGAAGACACAATTGAGACTCAGGGTCAGTCTGCAAAGACTGACTTCACCACCTTAGACAATCTGAACCAGGCCCCAGAGTCTCACCCAATATCCAGCAGGTAACAGGGCTTATTCCGCGGCAGATAGAGAAGCTCCAGTGCTCGCCCAGCCATCCGGGTCTGGATGTCAATCATCCGGGAGCTGAGAAGGAAGAAACGCAAGTGCACATGGTAAAGGAGTTCGGGGTGAATACCTCCCCCAGGCCAAAAAAAAAAAAAAAAAGGCAAGTTAAAAAAAAAAAGGATCAATCATTCTGAGGTACCCTTTTCTGATTCCTTCTAAGTTCGGATCAACAAATTCCACTATTTAAAAGTGACCCCAAAATTCCACGTAATTCAGGACCATGTTATTTTATGATAAATTCTCACTGTACCAGCTGCCAAGCTGATGTGTAAAAGCAAATCACTTAGTTAATAAACAAAGACTGGGTATCTGCAACTCTCTTAGGCTCTGCTGCTCTAGCACTTGCTGAAAAGATTTTCTGCAAGAATTATTCTCCACAGTTTCTCATCTAGAAGAATCAACAATCCACAGAAACCTACAGCAGCACTGGCCATGAGAATAGAATGAAAGCCACATATGGCTTTCCAATAGCCAGTCAAAAACAAATGTAAAGAAACAGGTAAAATAAACTGGAGTCAGATTATTAACCCCATATATTTAATAACCTATTTTCTTTAGCCCATTACGTTCCAAATATCGCTTCAACATATAATCGACATACAAAGTCATCAGTAAGGACAGCGCCTGGTGGCTCACACCTGTAATCCCAGTACTTTGGGAGTCCTAGGCAGCTGGTTCCGGTGAGCAGCTTACCGGATCCCTGGGCAACATAGCCAAACCCCCTCTGCAAAAAAATCCCCCAAGCTAGCCGAGAGCGTGGTGGCGCGCCTGTAGTTCCAACTACTCAGGAGGTGAGGTTGCAGCACTGCAGCACTCCAGCCTGGGCAAAAGAATCAGACCCCTGTCTCACACACAAAAAACTATCAAGATGACCTCAGCCGTTGTGGTGACCAGTGCCTCTAGTTCCGGCTGCTCGGGAGGATGGCCTGAGGCTGCAGTCGGCATGGATCACGCCATGGCACTCCAGCCTGGCTGACACAGAGACCCTATCCCTAAAAAAAGAAAAGTTAGCCAACAGCTATTTATTTATTGAAGCAGGGTCTCACTCCGTTGCCCAAGCTGGAGTGCAACGGCGCGATCTGGGCTCACCACAGCCTCCGCCTCCGCGCTCAAGTGATTCTGCTGCCCGAGCCTCCGGAGTAGTTGGGACTATAGGCGCCTGCCACCACGCCCGGCTAATTTTTGTATTTTTTGTAGAGACGGGGTTTCACCGTGTTGGCCTGATTGGTCTCGGAATTTCTGACCTCAGATGATCTGTCTGCCTCTGCCTCTCAAAGTGCTGGGATTACGGGGGCGTGAGCCACTGCGCCTGACCAATAGCCATTTACTGAAATAGGGCTAGTCTCTAAGCAATAAGAGCACGTAAAAACCATAATTTTTTTTTTTTTTGAGATGGAGGCTCGCTCTGTTGCCCAGGCTGAAGTGCAGTGGCTAGATCTCAGCTCAGTGCAACCTCCCCTCCCGGGTTCAAGCAATTCTCCTGCCTCAGCCCCCGGAGTACCTGGGATTACAGACGCTCGCCATCACGCCCGGCTAGTTTTTGTATTTTTAGTAGAGACAGGGTTTCGTCATGTTGGCCACGCTGGTCTCGAACTCCTTACCTCGTAATCCACCCACCTTGGCCTCTCAAAGTGCTAGGATTACAGGTGTGAACCACCAAACCTGCCCCCAAACCCTTCCTCTTTTTTGTTGTTTTTTTAAGAGACGAGGTACAGTGGCTCACGCCTGCAATCCCAACAGCTCAGGAGACTGAAGCCAGAGACAATCGCTTCAGCCTTGGGGTTGAACCGCCTTGGGCAACACAGGGAGACCCTGTCACTACAAAAAATACAAATCATTGGGTGGATCATGAGGTCAGAAGATTTGAGACCATCCTGGCTAACACGGAGAAACCCAGTCCCTACTAAAAATACAAAAAATTAGCCAGCTGTGGTGGCATGCACCTTTAGTCCCGGCTACTAGGGAGGCTGAAGCAGGAGAATCACTTGAACCCGGGAGACAGAGGTTGCAGCGAGCTGATATCAACTGCACTCCAACTTGGGCGAATGAGAGACCCCGTTTCAATTAAAAATATATAAAAAAGAGGCCGGGTGCTGTGGCTCACGCCTATAATCCCAGCACTTTCGGAGGCCGAGGCGGGCGGATTCACCTGAGGTCGGGAGTTTAAGACCAGCCTGACCAACATGGAGAAATCCCATCTCTACTAAAAATACGAAAGTAGCCGGGCAGGATGGCGTGTGCCTGTAATCCCAGCTACTCAGGAGACTGAGGCAGGAGAATCGCTTGAACCCGGGAGGTGGAGGTTGCGGTAAGCCGAGATCCCGCCATTGCACTCCAGCTTGGGCAACGATAGCGAAACTCCGTCTCAAAAAATAGTAAGCAGCCAGGAGTGGTGGTGGGCGCCTGTGGTCCCAGCTACGGGGGAGGCCGAGGGGGGCCACCACGCCCGACTTAATTTATTTTTTGCAGAGACGGGGTGGGGGTGGTGGGTCGTGCTGCGTTGCCCAGCCTGGTCTCAAACCCCAGCTGAAGCAATCCTCCCGCCTCAGCCTCCCAAAGCCCTAGGACTGCTGGGATTACAAACGTGAGCCATCCCACCTGACCTCAGCTCTGTAGCTATACAAACTACCCTCTAGGAAATTCAGACAGTACCACACCAACGGCTGTGGTGGAGATTTACTGACAAACAAGGCGCCCGGATAAGCATCCTACGGACATTACTTCCTTCCCCCCACGACGACTGACCCCTCGCCAGTACCCACCGCCCGGCGCCTCTTTCACCACATGCTTAGGACAAGCTTGCACACTCGACTTTGAAAACCACCCACGGAAAGCAGGCGCGATCACCTCTACCTCAACACTGACGTACCGAGGCCCAAACAGGTCGGTAATTTAAAGGTGATTTACCAGAGACCGAAATGGCACCCACCCGGGTCCTTCCCTCCCCGCACCCCCAAATTCTACGGGCTTTCCGAGCAACGCCCGCAACAAGGCAACTTGCCGCTTCCAGACCCCCGGACGCCGCGCAGTACTCGGGCTCCCCTCACTTGCAAACGTATTTCCGGGCTTCTTTCTTGTCATAAAACTGGGAAAAAGAGAAAAAAAATGACAGGTGGAGACGGAATTCAGACGCCGCGGCCGTAGAAATGGGGTGACGGGTGCCCGCTGACCCCGGAATTTACCAGCTCCGGGGGTCCGCCGTGCTCCGGACGCTGGCCACTAGACGCCATCCTCACTCCTCAGCGGCACGCCTGCGACTGGCGTTTCCCGGAGCGCGGCTTTTATGACATCAGCCGGCGCCCGCCTAATAATACGCATGCTCCACCCCTCCCCCGCCCTCCTCTTTACGTGATTGGCTACAGAACGACCAACCGGTGCCTCCCATTGGCCAGTTTCTCTTGCACGGCCTGCTGAATCAATTCAAGATGGCAGCCAAGTGCGGGTTGTGGTTTCCACGACTGTTAACAAGGAGGTTGCTGCAGGCCCGTGGCTTTCCACAACGTTCTGCACCCGGTCTGAGCATAGGAGTGAGGACTTACACCCGGGGTGACTCTTCGTACTCGCGCACAGCGCTCTATGAACTGCTTGGCATCCCCTCCACAGCCACGCAGGCCCAAATCAAGGCGGCTTACTACCGTCAGTGCTTTCTCTACCACCCGGACCGCAACTCCGGGAACGCCGAGGCTGCCGAGCGCTTCACTCGCATCTCCGAGGCCTACGTGGTGCTAGGCAGTGCCACACTCCGTCGCAAGTATGATCGCGGCCTGCTCAGCGACGAGGACCTGCGCGGACCCGGCGTCCGGCCCTCCAGGACGCCCGCAGCCGACTCCGGCTCGCCGCGTCCCCCGCCGCCCACCTCTCGGACCCACGACGGTTCTTGGACCGCCTCTGACACCAACCGCACGAAGTTCAACTTTGACGCCTTCTACCAGGCCCATTACGGGGAACAGCTAGAGCGGGAACGGCGCCTGAGGGCCCGGCGGGAGGCTGTTCGCAAACGACGGGAATATCTGGCCCTGAACAGCAGTTCCTGGGAGGAGATCCGAGATACGGGTGTCATTTTCTTCCTCTTCGGAATCTTCATCATCATTATCATCATTGGCTTTTATATTTTTTAGTGGGAGAAAGGAAGGAAGGAGAGCGTCCCCAGCCAGCCCCCAGAAAACGGCCTTTTTTCCTGCCCCTGAACTCTTGGCCATTGATAGCCTACCTCAGCTGGGATCCGAAGGAACTGTGCTCCCCATCCCCTCCCGGACCCACCCAACATAGCCGATGACCTGCACATCCCTTCCCTATGGTCCAGAAAAGGAGGCCTTTAGATGCGTAAGAAAGAGGCCCCACGCTGAAGAGTCCCGAGAGCTCACGAGTGAAGGGTTCCTGGAGTCTCTAGGGTGCTTCTTCCAGAAGTTGCCTTCCTGCTTCCAGATGTGGTTAACTTCTGTAACACTCGCTGTAGCTTTATTGTAAAGCCCCGAGCAAGATTTATCTGCTCCTGCCCCGCGTGTGTACGGTGCGGCTCCTCTGTAACCTTGAAATGTGCAATGTGACCATTTGTTGACTGCCAAAAGGCTGTACCAAACCTTGTCTTTCTGTGAGTTCTCCAAGCAGCAGGTGAGACCTGGTCCAGGGTAAGAATGGGGTCTGTGAACAGCCTGCCATTCCTCCCTCTAAAGTCAGCCCCCTGGGGCACTCCCCTTTCTGTTGATAGCATGTGGGAGTGAGAAAACAAGGTCCCTGAGCATAAGGAATGAGTGTTCGTGGGCCGTATTAATGTGTGACCTTGGAGAAGTTACTCTGTGAGCATGACAGCAGAGGAGAAAATCATTTGACCTTGTTTTGCTTTTGTTTTTCAGACGGGGTCTCGCTCTGTTGCCCAGGATGGAGTGCAGTGGTGCAATCTCGGCTCACTGCAACCTCTGCATCCTGGGTTCAAGCTATTCTCCTGCCTCAGCCTCCTGAGTAGCTGGGATTACAGGTGCCTGCCACCATATCCAGCTAGTTTTTGGATTTTTAGTAGAGAGGGGATTTCACCATGTTGGCCAGGATGGTCTTCAACTCCTGACCTCAGGCGATCTGCCCACTTTGGCCTCCCAAAGTGCTGGGATTGCAGGCGTGAGCCACCTTCTCTAGCCTATTATCCATAGTTCTAATCTGTGGGGATTACAGCATGACGCTAGCAGTGCCATGTTCATCCTTGGGACAGTGTGGCTGTCACCTGGCCCTCCTTTTACCAGCCAGCCCCATTGCACACTGTGCAGCACATCCCCTCCCAGAAATGGAGTGCCAAACTCAGTGCTTGAGTCTCCTGCTCCTGTTTAACTTGCAGTGCTTATCACAGGCCCGACATGAATCTTTGAAACAAGGCTGCCTGAGGCTGGGGTAAACTTTGGGACTCTGGGAGTAGACAGGACTACGGAGGGATGGGGGACTTGCTGTTCAAGGTGGCGACTTGGTTCTTTATGCAGAGCTGACTAAAGGCGTGGTTTCTTTCCCCCCTGTTTCATGTTAAGTAGTTGCTCATAATTTGGTCAGAGCTGCTGCTTAGCTCTCTTAACTGTGAATCACTGGACATTGGCAGTGAGTTGGCTGTGAGATTGTAGGTGCTCGAGTGTTTACGTACAGGACTGAGTGTAAATCTGTAAAAGGAGAAAATCCTCACAAGAGGTCTACGAGATGGATGAGGGCCCAAGTCTAGGGTCTAAACAAAGCCAGGAGTGGTTTGGTGTATTACTGAGGGCAATAATTGCGTGCAATCCCTGTACTCAATGTGTGGTGTAAAATCCTTATGTAAAATGGGATAAACCCACAGCTGGTCCTGCTTAGCCTCTTGAAAACCATTCCATCATTGTGCCAATCTATCCTGAAAAAAAAAAAATATATATATATATATATATTTTTTTTTTTTTTTTTTTTTTTTTTTTTTTTTTTTGCCTTGGAGAGTGGGGGTATACTCCTAGTCAGGGCTTTGCAGTGACTATATGATTCAGTAATGAAGATCTGGGGCCTGGCACAGTGGCTCACACCTGTAACCTAAACACTTTGGGAGGCCAAGGCAGATGAATCGCTTGACCTCTGGAGTAGGGAGACCAGCCTGGGCAACACGGCAAAACCCCATCTCTACAAAAATTAGCCAGGTGTGGCAAATGCCAGGTGTGGTAGTTAGTCCCAGCTACTCAGGAGGCTAAGGTGGGAAGATGGCTTGTGCAGTGAGCTGCAATCCCGCTGCTGCATTCCAGCCTGGGCAACAACAACAAAAAAAAGATCTGAGCCCAGTCTGGTTCAGACCTGTTTGGTTCAGTCAGCCTGGACTTGGGGGGAGGGGATGTGTACTTTTTAAAAGAACATTTAATGTTACTATGTTTCATATTTGGAAAACAGGACAGAGTCTTTTCTGGAAAAACAAACTGCACCCAGTGAACTGTAGCAAAATGTTCTGAAATGGGGCAAGGGCGTTTTGTTTGAAAAGAGGTCGGGTGTGGTCCCGGTGTGGTCGGGCGTGGGTGGTCGGGCGTGGTGGCTCACGCCTGGAATCCCAGCACTTCAGGCTCAGGAGGGTAGATCACCTGAGGTCAGGAGTTCAAGACTAGCCTGGCCAACATGGTGAAACCTCATCTCTATTAAAAGTATAAAAATTAGACAGTCGTGGTGGCGTGTGCCTGTAATCCCAGCTACTTGGGAGGCTGAGGCAGGAGAACTGCTCGAACCCAGGAGGTGGAGGTTCCAGTGAACTGAAATCGCACCATTGCACTCCAGCCTAGGCAACAGAGCAAGACTCTGTCTCAAAAAAAAAAGAAACAAAAAAACAAAGAGAGGTGTTCTTTTGGCGTGGGTTTGTAAAGCACTAGTGGTCTACTAGCATAGGCTCCTTGAGATAGAAGTTTGTTTTCTCATTGAAGATCCCAGCCAAGAACATTCCCTGCAGGCCCCAGAATCTAGAGTAGATAGAAAGTTCCAGAAGGTTTCAGACTGGCGGTGCATCCAGACTGAAATAAACTTATGGGGCATTCCATGGAACTGTAAGCAAAGTATTCTGTAAGGTTTACTAATCATCATCCAACCCTCAGCCTCTCCCATGGCCTAGAACAAGGCCCACTCCATTCATAATAAGTCCATTCTTGGGTGCCTCAGGGTTTTGTAGGCCAGAGCTAACCTCTCCCTGCTGGCCCTGAAACTGAGCCTGTGCTCTTCATGGAAAGGGAAATGTGTGGAAGGCTTTTGAAGGACCCCCAACAGGTTTCCATGGAAACATTGCTCTCCCACTCACTCAGATTGGCTTGAGTCTTTCCTTTCTCTGCTGCTTCCCAGCAAGTGGAGGCCGAACTCGGCCATGACCTTAGCCCCTGCCTTCTAGGGGCTATTCCTCAATTCCTGGTTGTAGAGGATGGCTCAGACATGCCCAGCATTAGTCCTTTTTCTTTGTTTTTGACAAACTAAAACAAAACTCCCTAGAAGTTTGGACCTAGGAAGGGAGAGCAGGGTAAAGGGGCCCAGGCTGTGCTCAGCGGGGTGGGGAGGCGGGTACACGTGTAGCACGAGGCTGAGTAAGCAGCAGGCATGGGTCCTGAATGGGAGAGAGGCCACAAGACGGGAGCCAAAGGCACACACATCTAGGCAATTGTATTGTCTTTGAGCTTGACTGGGACTTTATTTCTCCTGAGCCAAACTGCTTTGCCTCCTCTGTTGCTCTTTATTTATTTAGAGATGGAGTCTTGCTCTGTTGCCAGGCTGGAGTGCAGTGGCCCTATCTCAACTCACTGCAACCTCCGCCTCCTGGGTTCAAATGATTCTCCTGCCTCAGCCTCCCAGGTAGTTGGGACCACAGGCACGCGCCACTACACCAAGCTAATTTTTGTATTTTTAGTAGAGATGGGGGTTTCACCATGTTGGCCAGGATGGTCTCGATCCTTTGACCTCGTGATCGCCCTCCTTGGCCTCCCAAAGTGCTGGGATTACAGGCATGAGCCACCGCGCCCAGCCATGTTGCCCTTTATTTATTGCTGGATGAGATGACCCTTCACAGATCCCAGGGTTGAAGGATAGGGTTCCTCCCACTTCCTTCTGAGGTTCCGGCATTTCATTCATGGATGCACCTCTGTATGAGCCAAGTGGATTAGGAATAGCTTAGCTTAGGCCTCAGAGCTGTCCTACTGGGTCACAAATGACTTAGAGTGGCCACCAACACTCCCTTTTTCGGAAATGGGAGAGGTCTGTGTTTCAAACCATTGGGCTTCCTGGAAGGCCACCAGACTCCATGCAAATAGGCCAAGAGAGGAGTGGCTGGTAAGTGGTGGTGCTGTCAGTCCACACCCTGGAATTCAGTGCACTAGAAAAGTTGGCCCTGTCCTGAATTTTCCTCCTCTCAGTTCCTCAGCACTGTGATGAAGTCACACACTGCCACCTGCCCATGGGCAAGATGATGAGGGAAAGCCAGGCATGGTGGCGCGCACCTGTAGTCCCAGCTAATTGGGAGGCTGAGGCAGGAGGATCGCTTGAACCTGGGAGGTGGAGG